TTTTTTTTATTATATATATAGAAGCATAGATATTTGTCTTTCTTTTTTTTTTCTTTTTTTTTTCGAAGAAGAAGAAGGACCTTATAAAAATTTTCGACTGAACTCCAAGGGGTAATTTTCAAGAATCTCCACCTATTCTACCTTACACATTGGCTAAAAGAAAGAACACTGATATGCATAATTAGGCCAACCCAATGGGCCTACAAGTTATTTACCTACTGGGCCACGAGCCCAATATCGAAGACCATTATCACCGAGGCCCAATCACCTTCAACTAAGGTTCGGGCCCGACAATTTCAACTAAGATATAAATAAATGTTTGAACTCATTTCTCAAGGTACGTCCTATTAACTGAGCAATACTATTAACTGTATTCTCTGGACTATTTCTATGATCAACACGTCTGACTTGAGCGTCGGAGGGGTTTCCGCCGGATCAACCCCCGGCTTAGTTCATGTGTTCTATGATCGCAGGTACCTCAGGATCATCAAGTTGTCAAGCTACTGATCTGCTTTGCTCTCCCAGTTCATTTTCTACACCACCCTAGGTGATCTAAGTAATTAACATCATCATTTTGGCGCCGTCTGTGGGAACGATGCAAACCAGATCACGTAGCCAACAAGATCCTCCTGAGGCGTCTGCTCGGAGAAAAAATGGCACAGCTAACGACCTCCCACCTCGTGGAGGCTCTGGCTTGCCACCTCCTCCACGTCCCATGGATCCGCCTCGCGAGGTTCAGGTGATCCCTCTCGGGACCCACCACTCGCCGATCTACCGCTCCCTGCTCCTCGAATAGTTCAAATAACCGAGGATGCGTTTCAACGCATGATAGCAGAAGCTTCAACTCACGCTGCCACAGAGGCCGTGACCCAATATATCGCCACGACGGGAGCAGATGCTCCCAACGCGATACCAGCACATGCTCCACATGTGGAGCCACCTATGGCACCACCGCCATCGACTCCCTGGGGGCTTACATAGCCACCTATGGCACCACCGCCATCGACTCCCTGGGGGCTTACATCTGCCCCCAAAATATTTCGCTCTCCAAGGGTTATCGACTCCCTGGGGGCTTACATTGCCCCCAAAATATTTCGTTCGCCAAGGGTTATCGACTCCCTGGGGGCTTACATCTGCCCCCAAAATATTTCGCTCGCCAAGGGTTATCGACTCCCTGGGGGCTTACATCGCCCCCAAAATATTTCGTTCGCCAAGGGTTATCGACTCCCTGGGGGCTTACATCTGCTCCCAAAATATTTCGTTCGCCAAGGGTTATCGACTCCCTGGGGGTTCACATCGCCCCCAAAATATTTCATTCGTCATAGCAAGAGCCAACGCTCCTCCTCGTGAGGCCCCACTGGGTCCTCAACATGATCAATTTCTACTTACTTCTCGAACGGTTCAGATAACCGAAGAAGACCTTCAGCGTATGATCACGGAAGATTCAACTCGTGCTGCCACTGAATCAGTGGCACCATATATCGCCAAGGTGGGGCATCTCACCCCAGTGGTAATCTCCCTATTAAAAAAATAGAACATCCCCAAGGGGGTGAATATCAACCAAAAAAAAAAAAAAAAATCAACGAAGAAGATGAAAAAATAAAAGAAAAAAAGAAGAAGACGAAAAAACAGAAGAAGAAAGAAAAAGAAAAAAGAAGAAGATGAAAAAATAAGAATATGAAAAAAGAGAAGAAAGAAGAAGAAAAAAGAAGATGAAAAAATACAAGAACAAGAAGAAGAAAAAAGAGAGTAATAGAAGAAGAAAGAAAAAAGAAAAAAGGGAGGAGCTGCAGCCGAGCCGCGTGCGTGAGCAGAGCCAAGCCGCGCGCGCGGCTTCATTAAAAAAAAAAAAAAAGGATGGCGCGCGTGCACAGCACGCGCGCGTCAGCAAAAAAAAAAAAAAAAAAAAAAAAAAAAAGAAGGAAGAGGCGCGCGTGCACAGCACGCACGCGTGGCGAACACGCGCCTGACGCGCGCGCGTGCACAGCACGCGCGCGTCAGGAAAAAAAAAAAAAAGGAAAAGTACCTCACACGCGCGCGCGCCTCCCAAGGTCTCCTTGGAGAGCGCGCTCCCATCTAATTGGACTCAACTTTCACCGCCCTCCACCAAATTGCGCGTAGATTTTGACTCGCTTCTCCAAATCGCACGAGAATTTCAACGCGCTCCACCAAATTCCGCGAGCTCTTTAACGCACCTACCAAATAACGTTCGTTATCAAATGGAAAATAAAAAAAAAAATATTTCTCCACGACATGCCAACGATTAACGCAAGACTACAGCACCGATCTACTCTCAATACGATCCGGTACCCCTTTCGACTTGGCTCCCACATCGTCTCGAGAGTGGGGGGCTTGCGAGACAACTTCCACGAGGAGCCAACTCGCTCAGTACTACCACCCGCAGCGAGACAACTCCCACGAGGAGCCAACTCCCTCGGGTCTACGAAACCATAGCGAGTTAACTCCCACGAGGAGACTACTCGCTCTGTCCTATAACCCGTTGCGAGGCAACTCCCACGAGGAGCCAACTCCCTCGGGTCTCAACGCCATAGCGAGATAACTCCCACGAGGAGCAAACTCACTCGGCCCTACACACTCGTTGCGAGACAACTCCCATGAGGAGTCAACTCCATCGGTATTACGAACCCGTAGCGAGACAACTCCCACGAGGAGCCAACTCGCTCGGAACTACAACCCGTAGCGGGACAACTCCCACGAGGAGATAACTCGCTCCGTCCTACAACCCGCAGCGAGACAACTACCACGAGGAGCCAACTCCTCGGGTCTACGAAACCATAGCGAGATAACTCCCACGAGGAGACCACTCGCTCCGTCTTATAACCCGTTGTGAGATAACTCCCACGAGGAGCCAACTCCCTCGGGTCTCATAACCACAGCGAGATAACTCCCACGAGAAGACCACTCGCTCTGTCCCACAATTCGCAGCGAGACAACTCCCACGAGGAGCCAACTCGCCCGATACTACAACTCATAGCGAGACAACTCCCACGAGGAGCCAACTCGCTCGGTACTACAACCAGCGGCAAGATAACTCCCGCGAGGAGATAACTTGCTCAGTCATATAACCCGTTGCGAGGCAACTCCCACGAGGAGTCAACTCCCTCGGGTCTACGAACCCAGAGCGAGATAACTCCTACAAGGAGACCACTCGCTCCATCCTACGACCCACATCGAGGCAACTCCCACGAGGAGCCAACTCGCTCGGTACTACGAACCCGTAGCGAGACAACTCCCACGAGAAGCCAACTCGCTTGGTACCACAACCCGCAGCGAGACAACTCCCACGAGGAGCCAACTTGCTCGATACTACAAGTCCGTTGCAAGGCAACTCCCACGTACAACCACCTCGCTCGATAATAAGACTCGCTGCGAAACAACTCCCACGAGGAGACAACTCGCTCAGAGCAACCTCAATCCGCACGCTCCTCAATCGTGCGTCATCCAATGCTCCTACAACTTCGCTGCAAGACAACTCTCTTGAAGAGACAACTCGCTTGCAATGCAGTACATAATCGCAAGCTCAAGTTAGCACGATTACAACCCTAGAAACACTTAGAGATATTATGAGAATCAATATAGCCTAGCCAGCTTGATTACACAAAATTTATCTACTTGTTTTCGATGGGTCCTTCATTAAAACGTGGCCACGGTCCAAACATACTTACGACCCACGAGGTCTAACAAGGGGCACGATCCCCATAAAAAAACTCTTGAGAGCCTGATCCTCTCCTCAAGTACATCACGCACAAGGCTATATGTAAACACATACAAGCAACGCGTCAAAACATTGACAATGTCGATAAATAACAACTCCCACGAGGAGAATACTAGCTCCGTGCTACTACATTATCACGAGACAACTCCCACGAGGAGATAACTCGATCAACTCTATTACCCCACGAGGAGATTACTTGATCCGTGCTACCACATTATCGCGAAACAACTCCCACGATGAGATAACTCGATCAACTATATTACCCCGCGACGAGACAACTCCCACGAGGAGACAATTCGCTACTACATCGTCGCGGGACAACACCGACAACTCAAATAACTTACATAGCGACAACTTAGTCGCGCTACGCGCCAACGCGCATTCACGCCCCTCCGACACACGCTCCAATGCATTTTCGCACACCATCAGGCCATATGCCAAAGAACGAACACTACAATTTTCACTCTCGACACGATTGAGAACCCATTTCGACATGGCCCCCACATCGACTCGAGAGTGGGGGGCTTAATGATATGCCTAATTGGGCCAACCCAATGGGCCTATAAGTTATTTACCTACTGGGCCACGAGCCCAATATCGAAGACCATTATCACCGAGGCCCAATCACCTTCAAGTAAGGTTCGGGCCCGACAATTTCAACTAAGATATAAATAAAGGTTTGAACTCATTCCTCAAGGTACGTCCTATTATTGAATAATACTACAAAATGTATATTCTCTGGACTATTTCTATGATCAGCACGTCTGACTTGAGCGTCGGAGGGGTTTCCGCCGGATCAACCCCCGGCTTAGTTCATGCGTTCTATGATCGCAGGTACCTCAGGATCATCAAGTTGTCAAGCTACTGATCTGCTTTGCTCTCCCAGTTCATTTTCTACACTACCCCAGGTGATCTACATTTTAGCATCATCATGTAGTATTATTCATAATTATATATAACATTAGTTTTTTTAAATATTGTATATTAAGATTTATAATCTAAATATATAGATTAAGATTTAACAAATTAAATTTCTATCTTTATTTCTTAACATTTGAGATATATTAATGAAAATAGGAGATTGACAATTGCTGAAAATTACAGTAAAAAAATTGGTAGAAAAAATATTAAAAATAAATAATTACAAAAACGCAATTAGGGTTTTTTAGGGTTGCCCAACATTTCCCAACATTCTTTTATATATAAGATATCATAATTACCCCTCTAAGTCTAAGAATAATTACGTAAATAAAAACAAAATTTAAAAATATTTTAACACTAAAGTAAATAAAAATCAAATTAAAATAACTATTTCAGACTTTTATTATAAAGTGAATCAACACATTTTTTTTATATAAATAAAATACCAATACCAAAAATTCAGTAATATATAATTGAAAATCCATTATTCATTATTTCCCAAGAATTATATAAAATAGTATAGATATCAAACCAAATTAATCTTAAACTAGTCTAATTACCAAAACACCCATCCAGAATGAAAAAATAAATGAATAACTAGTAATAATCGCAGTCGCCGGAGTCACACGGCGGCGGAGGCGGAGGCAATTTCACGGAGCCATCGATAACGGACAAGCAGTAATTCTGCAACAAAGAAGTAAACTCCGGGTGTAAAGGAAACACCTTCGGCAAACATCCCTCGTCGATTTGCAAGAAGGCGCTGCAGCAAGTGGGGCCCACAAGTCGGGGCTGAAGGCTGAGGACGGAGAATATCAGTTCGTGGAGGCACCCGTGGACCTCGAATATTCCGGCGAGGCATTGCCGGACGTCTGGCAAACCCAGGCCGCCTCCGATCAACCCTACGTCGCTGAGCAGATCTGCGGCGGATGGTGTGGCTAGGATTGTTGTGCAGGCGATTATGACTGCGAACACGTGCAGGAAGCTGGGCTTAGACATTTTTTTTTATTATTTATTTATTATTATTATTATTATTATTATTATTATTTTTTTGTTTTAATTAATTAAGTTGGAGATTATGGTGTTGTGTATTGAATTTGAGGTTTTATATGAATATATTAGAGAGGAGGTTAGTGAAACTGTGGATTTAATTTGTGTTATTAATTAAGTTGGTTTAAATTTTGCAATTAATTTGGTAACTCGTTGTAAATGAGGACAGTAAATTTGAAGTTATAACATTGCATTACATTAATTAATGTCATAATTAATTAATTACAAAAACTTTTACAACAAGAAATTAAAAAAGTTGATTCATACAACCTAAAAAATCATAATGACATATTTGTAAAAATTAAATTAGTTTATATATAACATGTAAATTAAATCTCCTATTTGCAGTCACTTTTTTTTTTTGCTAATTACTTTCTCAATCTCGACTACCACAATCTTAATCCACTACCTCTATAATTTTTTAATTGTTAATATTATCTCTTATTTTTAAGTCTATTTTCTCTAATTCTTCTTTGATTTATTTATATATTAGTGATCAATTTTATGTTATAACAATTAAATTTTATTATAATTGTTAATATCATGTATTAAACTAATAATTATTTTTATTTTTGAAATATTATACCATACATCGCACGAGGAATAATGCCAGTGCATAAAAAATTCGAGTCCTCGTTTAATGGAAATTAATTTTTTGTTTTTAAATTTGAAAGTATTTTGACAAAATAAAATAAAATATATGACATGGAAGAAGTGCGCGTGCATGCACGCGCGTACGTGAGGAAGGGAGAGCAAGTAAACAGTAGGTGGGCACGTGTGGGCATGAGTAAAACGCATGCATTCACTTTAACGAAATATGTATGGACGCTGTGAAACCCCTTCTCCTTTTTCCCCACTTATTCTGCCCTACTTTCTCTACTTAAAAGCGATTCCTACACACACATATATATAATATATATATATATAATGGTATGTTGTTCGGACCAGCATTCTTGAATTAGTTATTTACAGTTAGCTTTTGGAAGTTGTAAGTTAGTTAATTACTCGTAATTTGTGCTAGTATATATCGATCGAGATAATAGTACTACGATGGTTGTCGTTATTAGTAGCAAGTTAATGTGGAATGAAGTAGTGGTTGACGAGGCTGTCATTTCGTGTGATGCTTTGGCCATTACTCGTAGAGATCGTGTCGTCGAGAGCGACGACGACGACGATGATGATGATGGTGCTGGCACGAATGTGGCTCCGGCAGCTTAATTGAATTATGCAGTTCATGAATAATAATATGTGCGTAGATAAGAGAGAGAGGGAGAGAGAGAGAGAGAGAGAGAGAGAGAGAGAGAGAGAGAGAGAGAGAGAGAGAGAGAGAGAGAGAGTATTTAGTCTCCTAATACTAGGCCAAAACAGGACACTGGCGACGAAATCTAGCGACGAAAATATGGTATTTGCGACGAAATATCAATAATTGCGACGAAAAACAATCGTCGCGAACGCTGCCAAACAATCGTCGCCAAAGCGGTCGTCGCTAAGACTGCGACGAATCTATTTTTTCGTCGCAACATATGGCGACGAATGCATTTTTCGTCGTAATAATTCGTTTTTTTGGGTTATTCGTTTTGTAGCAAATAGCGACGAAAACATATTTCGTCGCAACTATTTATCCCTCAATTCGCTACGTTTTTAATATTTTCGTCGCAACATTTATTCATTAATTTGCGACGTTTTTCTAGGAACATTGCAATTTTTTTATTTTATTTTTTTACGCTGAATAATAAAATAAAAATTAACCTGTAATTAATTATCAACTATAATAACACAATTAATTATTAGATATAATAACACATCACATTAAAATTGTAATTTAAGGTCAAATACATCCAAATAAAGTTAAAAAAAATACAAAAATTAAGAAAAATATTGTAGAATTACATAAAGGAGTTGATCCACATTCTTTTATCCATTCATCATTAGTTATCCACTTGATCATAAACTATTTCCAAGCGTGCCTGAAAAAAATATTTAAGTATATAAGCATTACGTATAAATACGAACGAGTACAAGTTCACAATATTAAATAAAATAAAATAAAATAAAGAAGAAGTGTATAATCCATGACATCGATCAACATCAACAACTACTATCTAACATGAAGAAACTGCTATCAAACCAAATGATGCATATAAAACGAAGCCTATTGCCTAAAATTTACCGTGTTATTCATACCCAATTTATAATTTACACGAAGAATCATAAACCGAAATTTTTACCATCTTTCATTATTAAAAAAACACAGTTAAAGCTTAAACAAAAATGAACGGGGATAATCATTATCCACACATTATAGAGAAGTAACATGCTTAAATTACCACTTCTAATCACGTTCTCCAAGAAATTAGATCTTGAAGCAGAGCAAGTAAATAATTCTTCCTATTCAAGAAAGCAACTTATAAATAGTGAGGTACGTACCTTGAGCAGGGGAATTCTTCTACCGACAGATAGAGTATCAAGAAAAAAAAGCGACGATAAATTGCCACTATTTCATCATAAATCCAAGAAGTGCATCAGTAATCGGCATTGTATCTTAGCATACATCCCTGCTGAATATATAACAAAAAGATGTTAAATTAAACAATGTTTACCAAGAACCATAATCTTACAGACATGTTAAAAGCAAAGAAAAATTAGTTTGTGAAATTTAATCCTTGTTCATTATGGATTTTTTCTTTAATATTAAGCTCAGAACTAATTTTGTTGGGCCTGCAAATACAAAATACCATGATCAAACATATGTAACAAATACGAAACACTTTGCAATAAATCACAACCAAGAGACCAACAAGTTATGAGATTTTGTCACAAGTTACCAACATATAGACACGTATACATAAGGAACAGACCTTCAGAGCCAGAGACGCCACATTCGAAAAGCTAATGGAGAAATACAAGAACCTCCTCAAAGTAATCTCCATACAAGATCTAATCCTCGCCTCCCAATCTACTCCACCTTCCATCTCCATCGACTTCCTCCACCGCCTCTCTCAGAAACTCCACCTCAACCGCGGCCCCTCCGCCTTCCTCCGCACCTACCCTCACATCTTCCACATTTTCACCCACCCCGTTAACCTCCAACCCTACTGCACACTCACACCCGCCGCTCGCCTAATCGTCCGCCAAGAATCCGACGCCTTAAACAAATCCACGCCCCTCGCAGTAACCCGATTGGTCAAGCTCCTATCAATGTCCCTCACCAAAAAGCTGCCCCTTCGTGCCATTTTCAAGGTCTGGAGAGAATTGGGTCTGCCCGATAACTTCGAGGACTCCGTTATTTCGAGGAACCCCGACATTTTCTCGCTCCGAGATGGAAACGAGCCCAACACTCATTACTTATTGCTCGGCGATACTGACCTTTTTGCACATTGACTTTCACGAAAATATACTCTTGTTCTACTATAATTCATTTAATATACTTATTTAATTTTATAGACCAATTTCTGCACAGAAATCTCATTCTCCACACCCTACCACATAATATCACAATATAAAAAAATCAATAATTCTGACAGAGTATCTTATAATAAATGGCTCATCAAAACACAGAAAAACACTACTATTGAAGCAGAGATACATTAAACAAAAAATTTGCAGCTTGATTCCTAATTCTAATCGAAAAATACTGAAGACAAACCCATGTTCTGATTTAAACGATTAATTCATAATAACCGGAGAAAACGGGCAATAATTGCTTTACGCTAGACACTATTCACCAGCCCACACAAAATTAGGTCTAAATAGATACAATTAGGTCTAAAAAGTGTAAAATTACACCACCAAAAGTAGCAAATAAAAAGCCAATTAAGTCATAAAAATCATCCATTTAGCTTAAAATCAACAGTAAATTTGAAGAAGCTCTTACCTTCTTCGGCAGCGCTTTTCCTGAATTTTTTACCGTTTAAAGATTGTCAGGTTCCCGTTGTTGAGAATTGGAGGGTCCTCGAATGCTGTAGCGGAGAGTGCACCGTTGATAGGACCGAGCTACAGTACAGCTTCAAACACGGATTAATGAATCTTCATTAGATAAACACCTGGTAGCAAAAGGAGAATCAATGGGAATATAAGTTAACATAAACATATATTCATCTCATATCCTCCCTAGAAAGGATATTAAGAAAAATAATTATCTAACATTGAGGGAACCAAATAAAACTCTACCAAATACCCATCATTTGAAAGGATTTTACCAAATAATCATCGCATATGATTCTCATATTAGACAAGACAACCTAATACAAATTATTTCACCTCCTGAAATAAGAAAGCTAAATTAAAAATTAGTCAAATCTTACATTATCATACAAAATGTCGGATTTATAGACCAAAGAGTGTTGCGGAAGTTGGGGCATTAAAATTGCATATATAGGTGCCTGCTATTTACCTCATAAATAGGTAAATTAATACCTAGAGTTTTGAGGGTTGGGCTTCATAGATGGTGGACGGCGTCTAGCTTCAGCTAGTGGCAGCGATTGGAAACAAAGATGACGGCCGGCGACTGCAGGGGGCGTGGTCTTGGGCAACGACGGCGGCTGGAAGGACATGGGCAATGACGGCGGCACCGACGGGAGTAAACTTAGGGAGCGAAGATTGACAGCGTCAATTTAATCGACGGTGAGAATGACGGGAAAGGGGAGGGAGTGTGGAGGAAGAGAGAGTAAAATATTAGGGCAACGGCAGAAATGGAGAGGGGTAAGTGAATAAATTAAGTCGTGAGCGACGATTCCGAGAATTTCGTCGCAAATAAAATAAAATTAAAAGTTTTAAATGGATAGGTTGCGACGATTCACATATTTCCGTCGCCCAAAAATATTTTTCAGAAATATCTTGCGACGGTTTACACACTTTTGTCGCAAACAAGACAAAATAAAATAATATTTAAATATTTTGCTACGAAAAAATATAATTCGTCGCAATAGTTAATTATTAGAAAAACCAAATTAGAATCGTTTGCTACGAATCTAGGATTTTCGTCGCAATCATTTTCAAAATTGGTGGCGAGATGGAGCTTGCGACGATATTTATTTATTAACGTCGCAAATTTGCTACGAAATGATTTTCGTCGCGAAAAAAAACGTCGCCAGTGTCCTGAGTATGTATCTTAATTATAAGTCGCCATGAGTATGTATCTTAATTATAAGTTAATTGCATGAATAAAGTAACTTTTATTATTGTATTTTGTCATTTTTATATGGGAATGGCTAAAACAAATACCGAGTATGTATCTTAATTATAAGTTAATTGCATGAATAAAGTAACTTTTATTATTGTATTTTGTCATTTTTATATGGGAATGGCTAAAACAAATACCGTTTCTTTCTCATTTCAATACCACCAACAAATTTTTTTAAAAAAAAAAAGATAATGACATTAATACCCTTAATAAAATCACATCACACAAATTTTGTGTGTGGTATTAATTTTCATTAATGGGTAATAATATTTTTTGGTATGTTGGTGGTATAAAAGTAAGAAAAAAATGATATTTGTTTAGCCGCTACCTTCTTATATAAGTGTTTGCAAATTGCAAGATTGCTCTATTTACAAAGTCTTAATTAATTTTGTTGTATCAAATTATTGGGCAATTATAGATGGGTAAGGAGTTATATTGGGCTTTCATGACAAGTTTTATCACTTTGGGCTTATTTGAATTTGACGCCTAAGCAAATTAAATATTTGAATTTGAATTTGAAATTTATAATTACTGTCTAATTTTCTTATATAGTGATCACAATAATTAATAAGTATAATTAAATAAATTTGTATAAATTATTATTATATCAAAAAAATTACATCTTTTTTTTTTAAACATTAATGGTGTGTGTATATAAATATATCAAGAAAATTGGGAAGTTAGATGCTACACATAGTTATTTTTATCGGGTGGATTTGAACGTAAATAATTTTAATTAAGTAATTACCCACTAAACACACATATGCACATGAATATGTATGTGTGTTTGATTATGTGTAGATGTACGATTTAAATCCACTCAGTAAATAACCAGATGTAACATCTAATTTCCTAAAAAATCCAAACATAAACAATAATATAATATAAAATAAAGCCATGTTCCTCTAATTAAGGTTAGATCTTCATTCTTATCCAATATGGGGAAGAAACAAATTGATTAAATGACAATTAGAAAAAAAAAAAAAAAAGTATATAAATTATTCTAATTTGGCAGTATGTGCATTATAATGCATGATGAGAACATGGATTGTCGTTGGACAAAGAGACAAACTGTAGAATCACATGGAAACCACCTGAATACGGCGTCGTTCGACATACTCATTGGATGTTGCCATGGGAACCCCACGTGTCATGATCAACTAGTGCTTCATTCGAAATTAATAAATGACTGCTTCAATTTTTAAAATATAATATGATTTTCTTTTTAAATAATAATGAAAAGTGTAGATTCAATTTATAGAATTAGTTAGCATGGCCGCAATGACTATGATTTAGCATGAATAATTGGTGATAATTTTGAAGAGGATGGTCGCAAAATTAAAAATTGCACACAAAATCGAACCGAAAATTCAGTACGTGTCCACACCAAATCGAGAATTCACTTCTTTATTAAATAAAGATTTTCTGAAATTTCAATATGAAATACAATATAACGGATATCGAAATATTAATAATTAAAAAAAAAAAAAAAAACTTCCAAAGTATAACAAATTATAAAATACGAGATAAGCAACTCCAATGATGGATATAAAAGAGTAATCAAATACTTATTTGATATTTCAGATAATATTTAATATTTATTTAAAAGTCATCTACTTCAATCATGATTATCTAATTAAATACAATTGAAAATTTATGAGTAATTTTATTGATTATCTAATTAAATACCAATTAAAAAGATTATCTAATTAAATACAATTGAAAATTTATGAGTAATTTTATTGACTATCTAATTTTATACCAATTAAAAATTTATGAGTAATTTTATTTGTAATTGTCACATATCTATATATGATTGGATGTTTAGATGGATAACTTAATTTCCACCAAGTATTTTTACATTCCAATTTTACATTCCAATTGGTGAATTATCAAAATACATCCCTTACTTAATAACCCATTAGACTCTTACTAGAATCTATTGATATTTTTTTCTATTTTAGGACAGATTTTGAAATATCAATATAAAATTCTTCAAGAATTAATTAGTTTAAATATATAAATAATTTTTAAAATAATAAATTAACTTCGAAAATATCTCCTAAGGAGATATAAATAATATTTGTATGTGTATAATAAATAAATAAATAAACAATTGAGTAGTAAGAACAATTGATTCATTGACAAAATTCAAAATTATATACACAACAAACCCTGTTAGAGAGAATTGTATTTGATCTATTGTTACTAAAATTAAAGCCAAATATTGCTTCAAATTAATTATGAAACTTTAATTAAGTTACTAAATTAAAAATAATTAAAGTCAAAGTATTCTATTCTATTCCTAATTCTATTCTAATTCCAGTTTCCTATCGCTATTAGAGTCCCTAAGAATCTAGAGACCGAGACATGACGGAGAGTCGGCTGGGCCGCGGCCGGAACTCACCACGGCGGCGCTGCTGATGAGACGACGGCCGAATCAGCGCCGCCAAAGCCCTCTTCTCCAACTCACCTTCCACCGTACCAATCCGGACCAGAGAATTCTTCATCGCCGACCGCCTCATGTTCAGCCCGCTCGAGCTCCCACACGACACCGTTCGGGCCGGGCCGCCGCCCGAAACCACTCCGCTTCCGGCGAGTCCGCCTTTGTGTAAGCTGCACCTGAACGAACCGGGGTGGTTCGTCGGCGAGCACATGCACGTCCTCCTCCGGGCGGCGGCGGCCGCCGCCGCCGCCGGAGGCGGCTTCTCCGCCCTGGTAGACACGGAATTAGACCGGTTTGGTGAACCGGGTCTGTCGAAGCTGAGGCTGAGTGATGGAGAAGTATACTTGGGGAGGTTTACACTGGGCCTCCGTAGTGTTTGCGCCGCCGTAGTAAAGGCGGAGGAGGTGGCGGAGGCGAAACAGGGGGAGGACGACGACGGAGTGGCGGCGTGTCGGTTGAATCCGCCGCCAAGAGCGGTGGACCGGAGTACCGGTCCGCTTGATCTGCGAGGTGTATAAGCCGCCATTGATGGATTAACTTCAGAACTTTGGTTTTATTTGATTTTTTTATTTTCTCCGTGGTGTGTATTTATAGGGGTGAAAAACTAGGATCCGTATCGCTAACCGGGTCGGACTCTAGTAATCTAGTTTTATTCGGTTTTGATTTAATCAATTAAAAATTTAGAATATCCGTATTTTAATATTAATATTTCCTGTGCATGCATGTGAGTGGCGAAACTACAAAACGACGACGTTTAAGGGGCCGTTTAAAAGCAATCAAGGGTTGCATGCCACGTTCATCAACTTTTTGGTGACACTCTCCATATAAATTCCACGTGTTGAATATTTAAATATTATTAATAACATATATAAGATAATACCCTCGTCTTTTGTAATTTGAGATTCGGTTCTGTTACAGGAGCAAGTGACACATTTTTGGCAACATTTTTTGTTAACTGAATCCATAGATACATGACAATTTTGATAAATATTTTTATTTTTAATTATTATTCCTCTAACTTAAACTCTTGGCTCCACTAATACTAGTTAGAAAAACTCATCTAAATTGAATTTTCTTCATACATTTTTCTTGAAATTTGCCTAGGTTATTTTGTTATTCTTACACTTGGTTACTTTGAGGGCCAAATAATGTACGAATCAAATTTGAAATTTGGATATGAAACTTGTTTTGAGTAGCTCAAGATTAACAAATATTAATAATCGAATATGTATAATTAAATATTTGTCGGATCAATTTATTAAACTAGTTAAAAAAATTCACTATTATGTCGAACAAATCAAGTTCAAACACAAAATTTAGGGTAATTAGATATTATACTTGTTATTTATTGTGGATGGATGTCAACCGTAAATTTATACATAATCAAACATACTCATGCGTATGCGTGTTTAGTGTATAATTATTTAATTAAATCTACAACTAAAATTTACAGTATATAACTAGGTATATAGCATTTAACTTCCTAAAATTTTTAAATTTGAGAAAGATTCATAAAATCTCGGAATTCTACATGATTATATATTTTTTCAAACTTTAAAAACAAATAAAAGAAATAAATAAAAAAATAAAAGAAAAAGCCAAGAGAAAAGAGAAACACTATATATAGTTAATTGAATATGTGCATGGGCTTAATTCACGTGCCACCTCCAATTGCTACTAGTTTTAAAATAAAAAGCCCAAATCTAAGGTGATTTTTTTTTTTTGTCATAGCCCTAAAAAATAATATACAAAAATAAATAAAAGGAAATATAAAATATTTTCTTCTTGAATTTTCTCTCAAGGGAAGACGCCAACACTAGTCTTTTCTTGAGGTCTCGAAAACAGGTCGTCGGTGATTCAATGTCGTACGTTAACCCGTGGGCGGAAACCGCGGCCACAGAGCCGGCTGCACGTCAGCCGAAGCGGCTGGGGGACCCACAGCCGAAGCTGTCGACGAGGCTGAAAGAGACGTTCGAACGAACAAAGGAGGTGGCGTCGGAGGCGATGGAGAAAACAAAGAAGAAAACGAAAAGTGCGGCAAAGAAGGTAAAGAAAGGTGCCTCCAAAGGCATTAAATGGATCAAGACCAAGTTCCACAAAAACAAGCCTTCCCACTCCAAAACTAAAGAAATACAATATGATTTTTGAATTATTAATATAAAAAAAAAAAGATATAAAAATATGTAATTTATTCATGTCCATGAAAAAAAAAATGTTTTTTTTTAAATTTATTCGCATTGGTAGGTATTAATGTTGGTTTTTATTTATTTGTCGAATAAAAGAAATGGGAAGGAAGGGTGATAATATCGACTTGTAGTTTTGTAATTTGTAATATATATAATTTATATATATGCTAGCTAATATATATATAATATGTAATTTTGTTTATTTTTCTTTTTCAATAAATAATAACAATAATAATTGGTTTTATTACCGGTTCGACAGTGTAAAGGTGGTTGCAGGGCCGGTCCAAAGTCGGAGAAGCCCTAGGCAAGAGCAAAACATGAAGCCCTTTGTATCCTTTTATTACGTTTTAAAATATTAATAATTTTTATTCGAATCCTGAAATCTTGACGATTTGATCACACAGTTTGGTGGTTAAGGCACAAAAAGATTCCATTCTCTTTAAAACGAATTGCACGAACCCCTTTATTATATTTCTGCAGTAAGAAACTGTCCTTATTGGTTTTTATACGAATTGCACGAACCCCTTCAACATCGCAACTAATCATTTTTATACCACCAATCATAAACACGTAATTTTATTAACGAAAAATCATTTATTCACAATTATAAATCACATCAGCAATTACAACTGAATTATGCACAAATTATTGTTCACCGTGATCCACAAATCTATATCAATTGCGAAAATTATCACGATTAGTAGGTATATATAGAAAAAGAACATACCTGGAAATGATAATTTCTCAATCATCGATCTTTCGGTTTCTCTAGTTTTTGTGATTCGGTCAAAAAAACGCGCATAATTGACAATTCCGGCATGGCTCACGAGTATGTTACGTTGATTATATATCTCTTTCATTCACGATCCGGTATTAGAGATTCAAGATGTTCTACACAAGCAACGAAAAGTTCTACAAATTTCGTGCTCTATATATGATTTCCGGATTCCCGAAAGTCCGACCGCATAAAGTATGCAAAAATTCACCTACATGAAAAGTTAGTTTAAATAAATTTTCGTCAAGTTAAAGATTAATAAAATAGATCACGTCAACTCCCTTTTTCATTCGTCTCTTGGATCATCGTCAAGCTAATCTCTATATGCTCTAAATTTCGCCTTAAAATTGTTGGAATTCCACTTTTGCAATCTTCACGATTTGATCACAAAGTTCGGCGGTTGATGTACGAAAAGATTTCGCTCTCTTAAGACGAACGGCACGAACCCTTTTCATTATATGTGTGCAGTAAGAAACGGTCGTGACGCCTATTGGATACAACATCCCACCCGATCTTCAACTTAACTGATAAGTTGAACGATACTAATTCTTATCACTCCCTACCACCAAAATGAGTATTTATTATAACTATATAGTAATTTTTTATTTCAAAATGTAATATTAACATAACTAGTATTTCACCCGTGCGTTGCACGGATGTCAGTTTTGAATTGAGACAATAATAATAATACGAAAACAACTATCTCTTTATAAAACACGAATGCAAGTAAAACAAAATGGACGGAAATAAAAAAAACATAAACTTTATCCCTTAATTTTGAGTTGTAACATGTGAAATTTAATTAAATATTACAAAGAAGAAAACGCGGAGCGCGCAAAACACGATATGAAGATTAAGTGAAATTATTTTAAACAGATGGTATAAATCTATTTCGTGGAATGCAATCTACTACACCATGTCAATCTTCTACAAAATAACTAACTTAACAACAAACACGGTAGCAGAGAAGTAACACAATAGATATTCAAATTAAATAACCTGCAAGTTTATTACAAATGACGTTAAATTAGTGATGCACATTACTCAAACAACAATACAACTTATAAATATTACAAAAGAGATACGATGTATACGTCATTATTGATACCAATGCTGATACCAATACGGATACCAATACTGATACCAATATTGATACTAATATCGATACTAATACTGATACTAATTAATATCGATACTAATACTAATACTAATACAAATAGTAATACTAATACTAATACTAATATACTGATACCAATACTATTACTAATCGTAATCCTACAAATACTAATACGAATACCAATACTAATGATACCAATATTAATATTAATATTAATATTAATACTAATGCTAATGCTAATACTAATACTAATACTAATACTAATACTAATACTAATACTAATACTAATATTAATATTAATATTAATACTGATATTGATACTGATATTCGTACTGATACTCGTACTAATACTCATACTTATATTGATACTGATATTAATATTAATAGTAATACTAATACTAATACTGACACTAAGACTAATATAATACCAATACTCATACCCATACTGATACTACTGCTAATACTAACAATAAGACTAATATTAATATTAATACTAATAATATTTCTAATACTAATACTAATACAAATACTAATACTAATATCAATACTAATGTTAATAATGATACATACTAATATCAATGCTAATGCTAATACTAATACTAATATTGATATTGATACCGATATTCGTACTGATACTCGTACTAATACTCATACTCATACTGTGATATTATACTAATACTAATACTAATACTTATACCCTTACTAATACTAATACTAATACTAATACTAATACTAATACTAATAGTAATACTAATATACTAATACTAATACTAATACTAATACTAATACTAATACTAATACTAATACTAATACTAATACTAATACTAATACTAATACTAATACTAATAATAATACTAATACTATTACTAATACCAATACTAATACTAATACTAATACTAATACTAATACTAATACTAATACTAATACTAATACTAATATTAATACTAATATTAATACTAATACCAATACCAATACCAATAATAATACTAATACCAATACCAATAATACTACTAATAATAGTACTAATAATAATACTAATAATAATATTGATACTGATACTGATACTGATACTGATACTGATACTTATACTGATACTGATATTGATATTAATACTAATACTAATACTAATACTAATACTAATACTAATACTAATACTAATACGCATACTAATACTGATACTCCTATTAATATTAATGCTATTACCAATACTATGTTAATATGCTAATCCTAATATTCTGATGTATACTAATGCTAATGCTAATATGAATATGATAATCCTAATGCTGATGTTAATCATTATTGTAATCCTAATATTATCCAAATTTTTATCTTATTCATAATCTTATTCCTAACACTAATCATAATTATATCCTTATCCTAATCTTAATTATAATCATAATCTTAATCCTAATACTAATCATAATCCTAATACTAATACTAATAGTAGTACTAATCATAATATTAATACAATCCTATACTAATATTAATCATAATCATAATCATAATCCTAATACTAATACTAATTCTAATTTTATATTAATCATAATTATAATTTGAATCGGAGTCCTAATATTAATACTAATACAAAAACATATATTCAATATATTAGAAATTAATATTTAATTATGTTATCAAATTGACATTAATATTTTTTTTTCAATATTATCAGTGTATAAGCAAATATTAACACATAGATAGAACAATAATCTTGGATAAATTGCAAAAATCACCCTAAACTTAGGATAAATTACGAAAAGCCCCCACATGTCGGTAATTACAGAGATCACCCTAATGTTTGTTTATGTCTTACATGATCTCCTTATGGTGTGATTTTTATGGAATCTTTTTTATTCCATGTAATATCCTAGAAAATGTGGATTCTACCCCTGCAACGTGACATTTCTTTTATCCTATTGTTTAAATAAAAAAATTACCCACATGTAGGGGTGAGCAAGTCGAACCCATCAACCCGCTACACCCGTCAAACCCGTGAAAAACCGCCCCGTTGGGACCGGACGGATAGATTCATCCAAAGGATTGGGTCCTAAAATGGTGAAGAACCGTGGGTTTTGGTCTTAGATGGGTTCAATTTTTTTTAATACCCGTGAAACCCGTCCCGCCCCGCCATACAAAACGACGTCGTTTTGCTTACATTTTATAGTATAATAAATTAATAGTATTAATGAATAAATAAAGTATCTCTAGTGTATCAAATACATAAATCAACTAAACTATAATTGTGGAAGTAATAGCTTTAAAGATTAGGCTTTTGAGATCCTACACTGGGTGAAATACACCGGGTAGATCTCTACCATTCATATACACACAAACACACACACACACACCCACATTGGTATGTGTAGATCAACGGTAAAAAATCACCTGGTGTAACCTTCACCGGGTGTAGGATAGATAAAACCTAAAAATTATGAAAATCCCTAAGAAAATGTTGGAAAAACGATATATACAACGGTCAACACACGGCAGAAAAAAAAAGGAAGAAAATGGTGTTGAATGGAGCTGAATAGCGTTGGTTATGCTTGAAAAGGCTGTATTTATTTTATTAAATTTTATCTTTTAAGTTATGAATTAGTTACTTTTAGTTTTATAGTATTTTTTTATTTTCTCTTGACATTTACATTATTTATGTTTGGTTTGAATTTAAGATTTTAGGTTATTCATTTTAGTTTCTAATTATTCTCTCAAAAAACTTATAAATTATATATAAAAAAAAAAATAGTTTAGACGATAACGGGTTTCGACCCCTGAAGGTTGGGTCCTACTACAAACCCACCATGGACCCGTCTATCGTAAACCCGTTAAAAACCCACAAGTTTGGTTCTTCAAAATTAAGAACCGTTGTTTGACGGGACGAGGGCGGGTTTTGATAGAACCCGCGGGTTTATGTCCCGCGCACACCCCTACCCACATGGGAGGTAATGGTAATACTAAAAAATTGTGAATGTGTTATTTAAGAAGAATAAATATTTCGTGTAAAGTCCCCGAAAAGATAAATATCAAAATTAAATATTAAATATCAAATAAATATTTGCAAACTCATTTTGATACTTTTGGGGATGAAATTGCTCTAAATATGTACCTAATAATATATATCGGTGTTATAGTGGAATATAGTATATAGTACATACGATCATTATATATCTTAAACATACCAATTGATATTTTTAATCTTTGGTATTAAATAAAGCGAATAAACTAATTTAATACCAAAAATTTAGAATAACATTGTTATGTTTTGAAATATATAAAATAGGTTTGTTTATTTGTTATCAGTTGATTAAACTTAACTTTTATTATTCAATTTATTAGTATTATGAGAAGTTTTTTTTTAATTAGTATATAATTAGAAGTGTCAAAACAGTTATAAATTATTACTTTTATTATTCAATTTATTAGTATTGTGAGAAGTTTTTTTTTAATTAGTATATAATTAGAAGTGTCAAATCAGTTATAAAAGTTTTTGTCAGTGCATCAATGAATAGAATAGAAAAATTAAAACATTAACATGAAATTCATTTTCAATATGGTAAAAAAATTGGTAGTTTATTGTACACACCGCGGGAGATCAAAAAGACAGTGTGGATTACCGCAATATAGTAAATTCAAACATGTATTTTTTTTATATACATATAATACTAATATATAATAAATTAGGAAAAAAGAAAAGACATATTCTTTCATCATGGTCATATATATAAAATATATAAAACCAAATTATTTAACCTACAATATTTTTTAAAATCCATATCCAACTTTATGAATTAACATACAAAATTTCTGTTACAACACAGTCATGCAATTATAATGACTGCCATTTAAAATTTTAAAATAAATAGACAACGACCATATAAGAAATGTGAATTTAAATTTCACGAATCACAACAGTAATAATGGACACAAATCATGTCATGCAATTCACATAACATTGTTTATATTAATTGTAGATAATTAAATAAGTGTTATATATATATATATATATATATATATATATATATATATATATATATATATATATATATATATATATATATATATATATATATATATATATATATATATATATATATATATATATATATATATATATATATATATATATATATATATATATATATATATATATATAGAGAGATATAAAAATATTCATATATAACACAGTGTGTCTCTATATAGATATATATATATATATATATATATATATATATATATATATATATATATATATATATATATATATATATCATTCCAAAAAAGAAAAAAAAAAAGTAGAACAATCAAAGAAATATATATATATAAATATATATATAACAATGAAACGATATATG